AAAAAAAAAAAATTTAATATCAATAAAAGCTTCCATATTTAAAATTATAAAATTGTTATATTAAATATAATAGAAATTATGTTAACCTTCTTGAATTTCTAATGCAATCCGTTTTTCTAACGTGTTATCACCAAGAACAGAGGATTGATATATTGAATTTTCAATCAACGCTCGTCCATAATTGAAAAGGACATCGGCGAATTCTTTTGAACGACCATAATGTAATTCCCTAAGAAAATAAATTCACGAGAATATATATATATATATTATTATTATTATTATTAAAAAAAGAACATTTGCTAAATAACTTGCCGCTTATCGGGTATCAAAAGTAATTTTTTCTATAGCTATCGCGTCAAAGCTATGAAACTTTTAATGAAAGACACCTAAATACATACGCAAGTTGAGAAGCTTCTTCGTATTTAAGCACTGCCGTTTCGTATTCCCTTAACTTAAAAGCCTTGGTTCCTTCTTCAGTTAAAAGTTTAATTGTATCCGGAAGTGAAAGACTTTGTGATAATGAAGCACTTTGTGGTAAAAGTTCAAAATGAACCTGTGCGGAAGAAGTCTCTTCGATGGGAAGTTTGGAGGGATTACTCATGTTGAATCAAGCTTGTAAAGGATGTACTTCAAAACTTATATGATGAGTTAAAAAGTTGACAAGATTGAGACAATATACAAAATACCCGTAATGATATTGAGTATGTTGGTCGATTATCGGACTTTGATCACCAAAACAATTACTATTTAGCCTAGACCAAGGTTACACGTGATTTTTACTATAGAAATAAATTACTTTTTCAATAGGATCCAGTGTTCCACCAAGGAATTAGGAACACTAGACCCAGGGTTAAAGGGCCTGGATTATACAAAATTTCATTTTTAAAACAATGTGTAGGCAAATCATTCCTGTTATATGCAGAAATCATTAATATATAATAACTCATTTAATGCATTTAATGGAATTTTTTATCTGAAAATTTTTCACCATGAATCGACCAACTGTTCCTCTTATCAATATTTTAAGACGAACAAACCTTCAAAGAAATAATTTAATAATATTCTCAAGACATTCTTTTATTTATTCGAGAATTTTTTCTACAACAAAAAATTCTAATACAAATGAAATTACTATTACGAATAGTTCTACAATTGAAAAATATAAACAAGCTTCAAATCGGGAGGCTACTTGGTCAAATAGTCAAAGAACAAGAACGGATGCTATGATAGGTCCTCGTTTTGAACAAGTAGATCTTGAAGCACAGGTAGATTTATTATTAATCTTTGTAATATATTTTTTTTTAAAAAAAAAAATGAAAGAATATTCATACATATATAGCCGAGGCCTTTAGCGGCGATTGAATTAGTTGCTGAAGAGCCAATTCATTATGTAGAAGGAAGAATAGCTGTTTGCCATGGAGGTAAATTTTTTTTAATTAAATTTTTTTTTTTTAAAAAAAAAAAATGTAATTAATTAATATATATATTTCCCCTTTTTTTTTAATTTTAGGTGGAGGTGCTTTAGGCCATCCACAAATTTATATAAACTTGGTATAGTATCATTTAAATAACAAAAATTCGATTTAATTCTAATAATCTAATTATAATTTTTTCCATTGAAAGGATCAACCGGGAGCTCATTCTTGTGGATACTGTAAGTGATTCATTTCGTCTCCATTTATATTCTTTATTATTTACTTTGAAAGAATTTCCCTTTTTTTAATAGGTGGAATAAGATTTGAAAGAAAACATCATCATTAATATTTGATAATTAATATTATCTTTTTGGTCACATTAATCATAAATAATAAACTAGTAAAATAGATCAATAATTATTTGTAAATGATATAAATGATATTTGAAAATTAAAAAAAAAAAATTTCATTTCGAATTTAATGCAATTCATGTAATTTACTTATAATTTTTTAATAAAAAAAACAAATAATAAAAAAAAAAGTTAAATCAAAAATAAAGGATAATATGGATACTTTATGCTAAGATATAAATAATAATGATAATAATGATATGATAATAATAATAAAAAATAAAATAATGATAATAATAATGATAATAAAATGATATAATAATTATAAAAGAAAAAAAAAAGAAATACTATCTTATTATCATATACCCGAATCACAACATAATTAAGTCGTTAAGATAATTAAATTCATATATTATTTAAATCTGCTCTTCAAAAATATTATGTTTGGAAAATCGCTTTTAAGTAATTGGTATCGATTAAGAATCAAATATATTAATTACTTGAAATATAAATCTTTAACGTAAATGAAGAGTAATTCACCTTATTTCACAAATTAGGTGAGCTCCAAACCCAACAGCACCGCTAATAAGTAAAAGTACGTATTTTCGATCTGGAGAAAAAAGGAATAAAATAAAATCTTTACTAAGTAAGTAAGCGATTAACTTATAAAAAGTGTTATTAGAATCTATTGATTACCCAAGTTTTATTCAAAGTATTATATTAAATTCGGAAAAAACTTCTCTTAAATACGTATCAATTATTTTGCTAGTTAATCGTCATTATAAACAAATGAAAAGGGAATGACAGGCGGTTACCGAGCAAAATTTTTAGATAATTAACTTGTTGGTAACAGGTGGTATAAACATTTTTGATTTGCGACATAAATTTCTGGTTCTCCTTTGAAGTTCCAATAGAATAATCACGTGAAGGTATAAAAAGTTCATTGTAATTAATAAAATCATTTGGTCGAATAAGAGATAGGTACATGAAAAATAAGTCATAATTCAGAATTCTTCACAATCAATCTAAAGAATTTCGATAAAAAAAGGTGGAAAAAAAAGTGATATAAAGAAATGTTCAAAAAGATATTACTATGACGTAAACTAATCGCGCTGGATCTAATCAAAAAAGATCAAAAAAAAAGAAAGAAAAAAAGTACAATAACATATAAAGATAACATATTAGAAATACATTATGTTACAAAAATTGAAATATTCCGGATAAAAACTACGCACAAAAATAAAATAAACCCCCACCCTTAACCCACCAAAAATCTCACCTAATGAAATGCCGCTATTGGACAATTATTACGATTTAAAAATTATTGTTTATCGCCAACTTCGGCACAACCATCCTTATCACTGCCACCATCAACATTTAGTTTGCTTTGAACTAATTCACTCAATTCTTCTGTAGGATCATTACTACCTCCCGAGTTAGATACATCCTTATTGGTGATATCTGACTGATTTGAGATTACTACAGCGGCAGCCGCAGGCTGCACTTCTGTTCCTTGATGTTGTTGTGGTAATACCGGTCCAGGATAAATCGGTTGAAAATATCTTGCCGCAGCATATTGAGGACCGAATGTTGGAGAGATTGAACCAGGTGGAAAAGCACTATGTATTCCATATAATGAATTGTAATAAGCAGTATACCATAGAAAAATCATTGCACGAAAATGTCTTAATCTTACCCAGCAGGTTGAACTCCCTCTGGGAAATATTGAAGGTAAGCACCAGGTCCTGGTGGTGATCCAGGAGCGGCCATTCCCAGCATATGCTCAGGTGTAACAGGAACTTGAGACATAATTTGCTGTATATATTAGGATAATATAAATTAGTGTATGATGCGTAGCAATGGAAAATTTGAACCTACTGTCTTATTAAACCTGGTAAAATTATACTAACACCGCCTAAAGATGCAAACTCGCGTGCTCTCCACATCCGTTTTTTGGCAGTTTGTCCTTTCAACTTCTTTTGCGCCAATGAATCAGCAAATCGAACTTGCAAAGGTAAGCCCGCCCCGGGAAGTTGATGTCCATTGAATTTTTGAATGATAGCCAAAGCAGAATCACGATCTTCCATTCTTAAGCACAAATAATAAGTTTCAGAAGTTAATATTGACATTTTCTAGTACAACGTGATAGTGCTCGGGGATATTTGTTTCCGGATCACTCTGAACATCATTAAGATCTGAAGAATTCTTCCAATTGTTATATTGTTGCACGAACATGCATTTGATTGGATGAAATTTATGGGACATAAATTATCTTGGTTGATCCGGAATAATCAAATAGCCGCAATAAATGAAATTTAAAAGAGCTAATCTTCTAATATTTT